CAACTTCTCCGGCAGTCTTTCATTTCCATAATGTTTTCAGTCAGTTTGAAAATTTTAAAACAGATCAGCGAAGAGTACAGACTTGAAAATTCAAAGAGATGAACATGAAAAAAAGGACTGTACTTCTTACATCTAATTTCGTACTGTAAGCAACTCACAAATTGCACCAAATTAATAGAAGAAATGAGAACCTACAAAAACCCAGACCGCTTCACGATGGAGATTGGGAAAAAAGGAACAATTCCACATTAGTTCAGTTGCCCAAAAACTTCGACTGTTGTATCTCACCAGCTGCGTGGGAGATTAGTAGCAACGAGAAGCCTTTAATTGCCATGCGGTAGAAAGTTGTAAAAGAAAAATGGATATCATTTCTACCGTCCTCTACGTTCCTATCAGTCAAAGTCACAACAGGCTAGTATCAACAACAAACTATGAGTTGCCCTCAATGGTCACGATTATATAAGCGTTTTCAAGATTGAGGGCAAACTCCCCATTATTTGGAACAAGTGAGCAACAAAAGGTCTTATAAATGCATTAGAAGGTTCTTGAATGATGCCATTTTATCAAACCGCAGGTATAGAGATAAATATCAAGGTGACAGCTTACACAGCGCATGGATGTTAGACTTTTCTTTTCTCGACTATTTTGCATTGCATTTCTATCCAGTAATATGACCTTTCAGGCAGCATTTCTAAAAAAAGCAAGATGACAAATTATGAATAGAAAATTAGTCCTTTGTAAGATTTTCAATGGGCCGACTTACTTTTTAGACAGCTTTCCTGTCTTCTTCGTCGCCTTTGAACCCTTAATTTTTTTTTGATTTTTCAGCAATCGTGATAAAGCCTTATCAAATTCTTCTTTCATTCTTTCCCTTGCAGCTTTTCTACTGCTTACGACTGGAACTTCAAACGGATATTTTCCAGCCGCAGCAAGCTTAAACCTAAAAACCTTGAGCGTACAGTAACTAAAACTAGGATAGTGACAGACGAGACAAACTACAACAAATTTTAAAACAGCACTTTTTCACTACTTCAAGTAACCGTCTTCTTCGACTGCTGTTTATTTCGCGATTCTTTGCTACTTTCCGTAACATTTTGACGATGGCACCGTAATCAAACTGAAAAGTAAGAAGAATCTGCAACACACTCACTATAATTTCCATCGATGTTGGGGTCCTATATAACTAAAATCCTGATTTCTGCGTCTCATTTTATTTTGAAGTCTTGAGAAACAGTGCAGAAATAATCTAATAGTAAGTACAGGGCAAATCACAGCGGTTGCTCATGACTCATAAACTTCTTAACGAATTTCAAGAAAGTTAAAATACCTTCAAGCCGACTTCTTCTGTTTCCATAACATCCGAATTATGCTCCCCTTTGGCTTGCCTTTTCAAAAATTCTTCTTTGAATACATGAAGGATAGAAATGAAAATCTCATCCAACACCGAGTCAAAAAGATAATCTCTAAAATTCAAACGGTCATATGTAACTTTCACTGAGTAAGAAAACAAACAGTAGTAAAACTCACGTAATTAATTTCTTTGTCAAAAGCTCGGCATAAGGGAGTAGGAAATCGTTAACTTGCTCAACGGAAAGCCCACCTGCAAAGATCGGGGGGAAGTATCAGTGAGGGCAGGCAAACAGTAGCAATACATTACTCTTCATATTGAAAATTCAATCAATTGCATACCAGCGTTGTCAAGTTCGTCAAGATAAACAGATGCGAAATGAAATTTTAACCCGTCAGGGCAAGCAGTCCCTAAAATGGTCAGTTTTTAACACCTTACTGTAGTAACCAACAAGCTTATTCATAACTGTCAGCAGATGCAAACGAAGCATCATTTCAAAGTAGATGAAAAAAGAACAAAATGATCATGAGGAAAACAGATAAAACCTCTTAACAAAAAACTAGATCGTGAGAAAGAAAGAATACTGGGTTATACACCGCTGTAAGAAAGCTTTCAGATATTTCACGAAATACTACCTTCTGAAATAACAGTTGTCTTAAACATTTCTAAGTAAAGCTGACATGACAATACAGGCCACTGCTGCTTTTTTAGGCGACCGAACAAAGCGCGAACTAGACGCCGGACTAGCTGCAAATACTAAAGCTTCAAAAGAGAGAAAACGATAAAAAAGAAACTCAAGAGAATAGAACTTGACTGAGACTTTAAAGATGCAACAACGTCAAACCTCTCTAACTCCTTAGGTCAAGAAAAGTTTGGTCAAAAAAAAAAGCAAAAAATTATCAAAAAAAAAAAATAACTGCGACTTTTTTCTTCCAAAAAAGAGCATAAATACTTATTTGAAAAGCAAATAAATGAAGAAACCTGCTTGTTTATCTTAAAACCTACCATAAGAAATTTATCCATCCTCCATCTGTCCATTCGGGACCACTCGTCAGAAATAACTACGAAGAAAGACTTAATGTACAGAACTGAATCTAGTTCCTTCTCAAAATGGTTTATTAAAGATCCGAAAAAATCCGCAAGTTCTTCCTGCACGATCATTTTATCCTGCATCCACATTCCATAGTATAAGCCCTTGCAGAGGGCTTCCATCGACTCTTCATTGAATTCTAAAGACCTTCATGATTTTTTTTACAGTACGCAAAGGGGAATTAGTGAAATGTAAAGACAAACCAAACATATTGCTAACGCTTAATTTATCTGGTTTATAGATATTATCTTTCAAAATAGAAAAAAATTTTTATATATGCAAATACACAACGACTTATTAAATTGAGTGGAAAAAGTCATTAAAAATTCGAAAAGAAGTGAAGAACAAACTGTGCGAAGTTGACGCTTCCTTCACCCATTTATCCATTAACCTTAATGCCCTTTTACGTATTGTTGGTTCACCAGATGCCAACTTTTGGGCCAAGACGGCTTCCTCTTCAGTCAGTTCCCACATCTCTTTCAACTGAAAGAAGGTTCTTAAAGAACATCAAATATTAAGAATGCTTTCTAAAACGTCGATTTATTGGAAACAAAAGAAATACTAGATTTGAAAAGATGTGTAGTTTCAAAAAATTTGTCAAATATATGCGTTTATTATCAAGTAAATAGCAAAATAGAAAAAAACTTTTAAAATACTTTTAAAATGCATGCTAAACAGTTGTTTTTCGATACCACCAAAGTACATAAATGTACAACAACTATTCAATGCCTCAAAAAAGTTATCAACGCAAAAAGTAAAAAAATGAGAAAACCAAAAATGTACAATCGATTGTATAAAAGTAAAAGGTTTGTGTTTTTAAGCAAGATAAAGGTATTTGGTCAAAGAATAACTTTTCTAGACCAGATACAGATACCTGTTAATCTAAACTACATGGCTATCAAATTGTTGCTATATATGTGTTACTGATGCTTTACAATCCTACGGTCCTTCACCAGACCAATCGCACCTTTCAGCAAACAGATTTTATAAACATTTCTAACTGTTTATAGAACTGATGGAAGTTTAGCAGTTTAAGGATTTCAGGAAAAGTTGTTCACTAAAACAGAAAGACAACCACATTATGAAGCAATTCCTTCATCGTTCAGAAATACTGGCTTCATAATTGCAAGGCTTCGACAGAACCCGCACTTTTGAAAACTTTGGGTTTGTAAAATGCAGTTTGGCTCAAATCCAAAAATTTTAACACATTTATAGCTATCTGTCACCGTGCGTCAAAGAGTATTAATGCTTGAAACTGTGTTCTGCTGAAGTAGATCATCCGATTTTGTACCTCAACCTTTATTGGTACTCTTAACGATTCTCTGAGCAGGAGAAAGAAAATTTATGAATGGATAGACGTACAGTACTCCGTAAAACAACAATCCAAGATACGTTCAAGCTTTCCCACTCTCCCAAACGTGCCTTTTCTGAGTCGTCTTGACTTCATTATTTCTTTATGGGGTCCTCGACACCGCCTAATTCATTTGCAGTATTTGGAAATTGCTTATTTAGTTTCTGCTAACTGCCTAACGGTTTGATGCGATAATGTCGCCTGAATCTTTTTACGATTTAACAAAGCCGTCTCCTAGGCAACTGTTGCTGTAATGACCCTAGGGGTCTGAAAGGTTCAACACAACACCTTATGCAGTTCCTCTACTCACAATGCTCATATCTCCCAACTGTTCTCCGGTCCGCCTAAAAACACCTACTTAACCACAATGTTTCAGTTATGTACATAGAACTCGAATGATGTCACTAAGCAAGTCATCGAGTGAAAGACAAATAATAATAACCGGGAAACATGGAAGTGGAGTGTGGGGAAAAATAGAATTGTAAAAAAAACGCTTCCATTTTTTTGAAAAGTTAGGTTCTGCGGACTATTTCAAGTAATTCTAATAATAATCATGATGGTAACTGTAACAGAAAATATAAAAATAATAAACTTCAGTCAAGGTAGTACGTTTCAAACTTTGATGGTGAAATTGCAACTTCTTTCTATTAGTGAACAATGTATTAGACTCTACACATCAGTCTAGGACTTTTGAGTCAATTCGCTTTTCAAAGATCAGTATCATTACCAGTGTTCCTTTTCGGAAAATGAACCACCGGATAGTATGTATAGAAATTATACAGAAGTTTTAAATGTGCTTTATCAAAGTTACATATCCTTGAAATGAACCAGCCAAAAAGACTACGGTAAAGCTTAATAATTAGTGATAAAAACAAGACTGTCAGAATAACAGCTAATTTCAATGTACAGACAATAAAAAACGGCTCAAAATTTCTGCTCTAATACATTCGGCAGCGTCACTTAATTATCCAGAGGTAACACAATAACATCGACAGTGATCTGCCAGCTGGCTCATGCGTTAAATTTGTCAAAATTTTGATAATTTTTGCTGATTTAATTGATTTAACCGATCCTGAAATCCTCTTCTTAACTTTCTACAAAGAAATAATAAAGGAACACAGGAATCAACAACGTAATCTGAATGAGGAAAATGTGTTCAGGTAAGTTCTAGGGAACCACATAAAAAGCTAACTAAACGACTATCCGACAAATCTTTCTGAGAAAATATTCTTCCACCTATACTTTGAAATTCAACTTATCTTTAATTTGCGGGAATCCAGACTAAAGCAGAATCAAATATGCGTCGGAAACATCATATCTGATGATTCATATCTTCTGGTTTCGGAAGAATTTGGTCTGTGAGCTCTACTATGTTTTTCTCACCATACTTCGGAGGGCCTATTAACTTTTTTATATCTTCATACGTTAAAACTTCATTCTTAATCAAGGCTTGGGCAAGCTGAAAATTTTTTTCGTCATGAATAAAATTCCAAACTTTTGTTCAACATTTAGTAATCCATTTTTATTGTTGAAAATAGCTACAAACGACATCGAGCAGCCGGTTTATACTAATCATCAGCAATAAAGTACCTTTTCTAACTTGTCTCGATTTTCCGTTAATAACAATTCTGTTGCACGATATGCTTTGGCTACTAGGCTCCGCGCTTCCTGAACAGACTGAACATTAAACAAAATGAAAGTAGGCTTTACGGATATATAAAAGTGCAGCTGACTTTCACTACTACTTGACAAGCATAGAACTCTCAAAACTTTAAAAAAGATTGCAGCATTTCTCACCATTCAAACAGTTATAACACTCACCTGATCCATCAAATGCTGTAGGTTAGAACTGTAAGGTTTTTTTCGAAAATCAGCATTGATATCAGTGTCAGGGTTTAAAGGGAAACTTATCGGTCCTATTTTTTCACTCATCCCATACACCTTAACCTGAGCATAAGCAGACTTCGTGACCTAAAATTTTGTTAACTGAAATGGATGTAATCATTTCACATAATTTCATTTGGGGAAAACTTCATTGTACTAAAAACAATATACCTTTTCTAAATCATCCTTTGCTGCCGTACTTGTTTTTGAAAAAACCAAGTTTTCTGCTGCTCGACCACCCAGTGACATGCACATGCGTTCAAATAGCTAAAAACTAGCTGCAGTGAAAAAAAAATTGTTGCGAATACAGACTAGACCAAAAAAAATTCAAGTTTGAAGCTAAAAACTATGCTTTATCCTTTGAAAAGTAGTGTTTCTCTGTGATACATCAAATAAAAATTGAGTTCAAAAAGTTGCTTCTAGAAAACATCGTAGCGAATATTACTTCCTCCTTAGTAAACAGGTACCGATCACCTTGATTATACTGCGAAAAGCCCAAGGCTGCACTCGTTCGCGGAACAATGCTGACCTAAATAGAAAACTGCTTTATTAAACTCTAGACGCGTTTCAAAAGAGGGCCAAATGTTTTCAGAAGGCAGAATTTTACCAGTGATAACTGTCCGAGCCATACAACGAGAAAAAGCAAGCAGAATGAAATCCAGAAAAAATTTACTCTATTTGAAATGATTTTAAAGTAATGCTTAAAGAAAAAATAATGGTCCATCAGAGGAAAAAGTGCTGAGAAGAAATGTTTTAAAATGTCACAAAAGTTTGTTAAAAGTAACCCTTCTTCGAGAACTACATTTTTCATAAGCTGTTCGCAATTATGACAAAAGAAATAACACTCTAAACTTTCACGATGCCAATTGCGACAAGCTTTTTCAGCTAATTGTTTAAATAATGAATTTTTTGAGAGCTCTTTTTCCGTAACTAATCTCAAGAAAACCTCTCATCTGCATCACGATCCTTCCTTAGAAACCAGTTAACACATACAAAGCCTTTCTTGTTACTGACGTTTTCACACAGCTAAATGCAGCAGCTTAAGTAGAGGATTTGTTGAGTCAAAACTCCTTCCATTTTTGCCAAATCTTGTTTGTAAAACCAGTAGAAATACTGAGTTAGAAACCCTGTCTACTGCCGCAAATGGAAAACAAAGAGCCTTTTTGAAAAAATTGACCTTCAGCAATGCATCCGTATGTTTCAGAAGCCACCCAACCAAGGCATGCCCTGCTTCATGAAATGCTACAGTACGTTTCTCTTCTTCCTGCATGGTCTGGCTACGTTTCTCAGCCCCTAAAATATAACTTTAATAGCAATTCGATCTCACGAATAACAACCTAAACGTACAGAAAATATTTCACCAAGAAAAAATTTTAACATTTAAAGTTCTTCATCTGCAGATTCAAAATATTTCAAATGCTGCAAATCCATGAAACTTAACCTCAATCCTAACTTTTTTTATTTCTGGTTCATGTAACAAATAATGAGATCTTCAAAATAAAATAGCAGATCCTACTTAGAAACAGATTTTTGCTGAATATTCTCACAAGACGCTTTAAAATAAAATAATTTTCAAAACCGGCAAGAATCCTGTTGAGAGCGTAGTCAATTTCCTTAACTGTGACCTCTGTTTTTTTTAATGATCCGGCCTGAATCGCAGCTTGATTGACCACATTCCTAATATCAGCCCCTACAAAAGACTTGCCGCAAATTCGCAATAAGAAATGGTGCGATTGATCTTAGCATTTTGAAGAAATACTGATACCTTAGAAGCCCAAGAAAAAATTACTGAAACAAGTTTTTCAGAAGCAAAAATCTGACTTTGTTACCTGAGAACCCAGGAGTTAACTGAGCAAGTCGTTTGGCAT